ACAGGAGAGTCTTTTCGCATATGAAAAGTTGCAACCGTTTTTTAGTTTCAGTAGAAGGGGCATGCGAAGTTTGTGCTGTTCGGAACAATATTATTTCACTTCTTCGTATCAAAGAGATTTTGGTGTTGCCAAAATGTTCTGCTGCTTGTTTCGATTTCTTTGTGAGGAATTTGAGCACAAACATCATGGTGGCACGTAGGCGAGTCCACGAACTAAAGCGATTGGGGTTCAAAAGTAGACTAGTCGGTTCTTCGGAAGTTTTCATTCTTCTGGTTCCTGTAGAAACGTTTGAGGTTACGACGTGTTTGTGAGGAGGATATTCTTCTCTACACAAATTCGGTGACGTTTCTTCCAAAGCATCTTTTATGTCCTTTGGCCAATCGTCTTGCCTCTCGAGGAGAAACGCTGGACCATTCCACATGATTCCTGTTTTAACAGTTCTCCTACAGGACAACCTCGAGTGCCCATGTCCGCGGGATTGATTTTGCCAGGGAGGTGCAAGATGGAAACATCGGATGTGTTATTCAAAATTATACTGACCCGATTTTTGACGAAAGTTGGCAGACTTTTATTATTCTTGGTCCAATATAGTGCCACAGCGCTGTCTGTCCATAAAAACTTCTTGGAGATACGTACGTCAAGTTCTCTCGCTAGGTAGACGAGGAGTTTAGATCCAATCATGCGCTGCGATTTCTAAGCGTGGAATCGTCATGGAATGGTTTAGTGGTGCTAATCGACATTTCGACATTAACAATGAAGCTCTTACTGGGTTATCTTCTATTCTTTGTACGAGATAGGCTGCTGCACAATAAGCTGCAGAAGATGCATCAGCGAAAACGTGAAGATCGTATTCGTAGTGGATTTCCTTTCGATGCTGTACTATAAGACGGGGTATCGAGATTCCATTGATGGTCCAGGTTGACAGGATTTCTTCCCATTGTGCTTCTTTTTTCTGAAGATAAGGCCTCGTCCCACGTGTGTTTTTCTTTCCAGAGAGATTGAAGAAAGACTTTGCCAGCCAAAACAGCAGAGGACGTCGAGGGGGTCATAGATGCTTGCAATATGCTTTAGGACATTCCTTTTTGTCCAAATCGTGTCTTCCGTGGGCCTTTCCGGGAGTGGTACAATAATAAGGTCGTTGGTCGTATCCCATTCTAAGCCAAGGAGTTTTTGTACCTTAGGGATTACTCCTTTCTCTTTTCGTTCGAAATAATGGTTGAGCTTTGTAGAATTGCTAGCATAAGCGCGAAGATTCATGCCGGCTTTGTGAAACAAGGATTTAGACTCCTTGTAGAAGATAACTCCATCAATGATGCTGGTTGCACCGTAGAAGACATTATCGACGTAGGTGTTGCGAATAATATCCTGTGATATATCAGTGGCCATGGAGGTAAGGTGGAAGTGAATAGTGCCCGCAAGCAAAAATGGAGAACACACTAGTCCGAAAGGAACGCGAGCGAAGCGGTAAGTGATTAGGTTTTGTGGGCATAATGAAGCGGTGGGATCCTTCAACCATAAAAATCTGATGTAATCTCGTGATGCACGATTTAGACCAACCATAAGAAAGGCTTTCTCTATGTCGCTTGAGATAAGGAT